GATTGGCGACCTAGTCATGATCCATTGCCCTGAACCATTGGACTGACTCTACAAAGGTAAAGGTTTAACAAATTGCCACAATAAATTTTCAGTTCTGAAGGACGAGCCTATCTTAGGCACAAGCAGTACAGTGATAAAATTTAACTGGCATTAAAAATTCATAAAAACCCTGACTGGTGTAGCTCAGTGGATTGAGTACAGGCCTGTGAACCAAATGGTTGCTGGTTCAATTCCCAGTCAGGGCACATGACTGGATTGCAGGCCAGGTCCCTGGTATAGGGGGTGTGGGAGAGGCAACCACACATTGATGTTTCTCTCCCTTTCTTTCTCTTTCCCTTCCCCTCTTTCTAAGAATAAAATAAATAAAACCTTTTTAAAAATCCATTAAATATATATCAAAAATACCTAAGAGTTTCAACCAAAACAATAGCCCTGATCATTTTTCCTGCCTGCTAATAGGTATGAAACATCATACCTATTGTGTGCCAGTTTTAGAGTTAGATTCATGATGATCTAAGAGTTAGATAAGGTAACAAAGGAATGAAGCTTAAGGTCAGGGTCCCGCCTTGAACGGACCCTTTCCAGGGCTCTGAGAGAAATGTTCATGTGGTCATATTTTTGTAAATTATATAAAATGAGGTATTTTAACCACAGTTTGTTAAGGCCACTGGTTCTTTCCACTTCACTTCCCAACTTCCAGTGTCATTGGGAGCCTGGACATTGTTGGGATTCAGCGCAGGGAACACTTAGCTGAGGATATGTTTAGTTTAGGATTCCTGGTATCCAGTTTTGTATCCACACACTTCCAAGTTATTGCCAGCAGACCTACTGCAGGAATGGCTTCTGGGGACACTCCTTTAAGTCATTCTGCTGACTCTCCTGGCATCTGGTTCAGAGAGCTTATCTGACCTCTGAGTAAGTGGGCAACGGGTAATAGAGAAGCCAACCTGGGGAAAATTCTTCCAACTATCAGATGCATAAAATTATATCATTACCTCATCTAAAATGAACTTATCTTGTGTTAGAATATACTTTTAACACAGAAGGAACAATGATAAATACATTTTTGAATCTGGGATGCTTATACTCATGCAAACTGGAATAGTTTATAATTCTCGTGATATAGGCATAAACCTAGAGCAGCAGTATAAACAGCTATGTGAGAGAAACTAGATGTTTTCTTAAATTTGACGGAAATTCTAAAAATTTACATGCCATAATCATTATCTAATTCAAATCCTTTTAGCATGAACCATTAAAGCCATTTGAGTTATGGGTACCTAGCTTCTTAGCATATTTTTCTGACCCTTTCTCGAGCCCCCAGATTCCTTTTATATTCTGGCATTGCTGAATTAATTTCAGTCCATCCAACTTGCCTTGTTATTTGTTCTCCGTGGACCAGAAAGCTCTCCCTACTTGTGTGACCGATGGGCAAACTCTTCACTCCTCAAGAATCATTTTGGATACCACCTCTACTGTGAGGCCTTGTCTGGCCCCTCTGCCCAGCACCGCACCCACGCCACTCCTACCAACAGCCACTCTCTGCAAAGAGCAGCCTTTACCTACGGCCCTGTGAGCATTTTCTCCTCACCTAGACGGGAAGACCCAGTGATCCTCACTGGTCCCAAGGATGATGGATGAATCTCCTCTCCCTACTTTATCCTTATTTCCTGAAATTCAAATGGAAGATTGAGGCGGGTCAACATCTGTGCATTTAACGTACAGAATGCCACACTGTTCACAGTGATCCCTCTTGTACTCCCTTTTGTTGGGGGAATAAGAGTGGGGCCATGGAGGTTATATATGATAAGCTTTTATAATGGAATTGTTTGAAAACTTTGCCCCCAAATCACCTATTACTTTGTTAGAAAAATGCCTAACTCAGAAACAACCATGAGAGTTCAATGTTTTCGGTTTTGATAAAAAGATCTTGAAACTGTAGGTCTTGCTTTTTCCATCATTTTACTTTCTGAATTAATGTGAAAGAAGATCAGTCTTCTCCTTTTGGATAAAATTTTCAGCAACTCCTATGAGTTGTACTCTGCTGCCCAAAATTCCTTGGCAAGATTCATTCATTCACTCATCCATTCATTCATTCACTTTTGGGCTAGGTAATACACTCTCACGTGGCTCCAACTTCAAAGGACAGGAAAGCCTCCAGGCCACCTTGGTGCCCCATTTGCTCTTTTCCTTCACAGCGGCAGGCACGTTGTTAACAGTTTCTTGCATTTCCTTCCAAGGTATTTTATGTATAGTGGCTATCCCTTATTTGCAAGGCATATATTCCAAGTCAGAATATATATACACAACATATATATATATTATCTTTCTATACATAGATACCTACGATAAAGTAAATGTCTTTTTCATCTTAGCTAAGCCCGTTCCATGCTTTGTTGCTTAACTTTTGCAGTTAACAAAGATAATCTCAGCCTGGAAGTCTGAGATCAAGGTGCCGTTGTGGCTGGGTTCAGGGGAGAGCTTCAGAGATGGAGGCTTCTTACTGTGTCTTCACAGGACTGAGCTCTCTGGCCTCTTTTCTTATAAAAGGACTAATCCCGTTATTTAAAAACGTCAGCTTCAGGTGCTCATTTAAACTCAGTTATCTCCCAAGGACCTCCATCTCTAAATACCACCACATTAGGAGTTGGAACTTCAACATGTGAATTTCCTGGAGGGGTGGGGCAGGGGCGCATAAGTCAGTCCACAGCAATATTCACTTCTAAAAACAAAACAAAAACTTGGTGTGCAGTTCCTTTTCTTCCTAGACGGAGTTTATCAAAATATAAATGTGAAATTCTTTGGAGCACTGCCTTTCCATCCTCTCCTCTCCAGTTCTTTGTTCATATCACCTCTAAAACAGTTCTGAAGTCTGGTTCCAAGGCTGTCCCTCCCCTGAGCAGCCCCTTACCACAGTATTCAGGGCTCTTGAAAATTCTGACTCCAAACTCTCTTCCCTACTTAACCCCACAGGGATCCTGCATCCTACAATGGAGTCGTGCGGAATCGCTTGGGCAGACTTTCAGGGCTTCACCCATGACGTTTCCAGTAGTTAGAAGGCCCACCCCTCAACTTTTTCTCCTGTTTCTTCAAATGTTACTTTCTGCGTTTAAATTAATACTTTCCTCCTCTATGTTCTCATATCACCTTATAGCATTTTACAACATAAGTGCCAGAAGAGTGTTCCAAGTAATCCATGTGTGCTCCTACCCCACACCTACAACCGGAGTTGTAACTGATTCATTTTTCTTTTTATGAAATACAGCACTGCACTTTAAAGACACTGAATAAAAGTGGACCCTAAGTGTAACAACCTGTAGCATGAATTTACAATAACCCTTAAAACTTCAAAACAAACATAATTGAGTTAAGTTAAAAAATATAGAATCACAGCTGTGGAAGCTTGTGTTCTCTTAATTTTGAGTGCAGAGTGGATATAATGAACTGCTGCTTGCTTTTAAGATAATGTAAATTAAATTGTTACTTGGGCCCCCCAGAGAGATTATATTATATATATATATATATATATATATATATAATTCATCATTCATTCAAATCAGTACCTTCAACTAACAGAGAACAGTATTCTTTCTAAGAACATGTCTCTGGGGTAGTCAGTTTTCATTTAAAATGTTAATTTGGGATTTTGAATGTAAGCTTTAAAGGTTACTAGGTTTAGGCAGAGATTTTCCAAATCCCTGCCCTTACTATGAATGCTCCACCTACGTCAGCTAGGAGCATAACATTGTTTCTGCCAGTACAGGGCCAGATGGGATATGCTACTCATTATGGAAAAAGGTATTAAATACTTACATGGATGTGATATACTAGTTCGATTCCTTATCCTAATCTGGGTCATCTAATACATATTTTAAGAGGTCATGGCAATCAATCTTTGTTCTGGATCCCATTAGGATCAATACAAAGAGAAATTCTTAGTAGGGGACTCTTACTATCTGCAGTTCTATTTTACTTTTTTATTTTCTTCAGTATTTAAGCATGATTTTTTAAGTGCTGAAGTAAGTCTTTGTTAAAGATAAGATAAAGAGCAATTAAAGAGAAGTTTTTTTTTTAAATATTTTATTTATTTATTTTCAGAGAGAGGGGAAGGGAAGGAGAAAGAGAGGGAGAGAAACATCAGTGTGTGGTTGCCTCTCATGTGTCCCCCACTGGGAACTGGCCTGCAACCCAGGCGTGTGCCCTGACTGGGAATGATCGCATGGTTCGCAGGCCCACGCTCAATCCAGTGAGCTATACCAGCCAGGGCAAGAGAAAGTTTTTGACTTTTTAAAAGTATAATTTAGATCTCCTTTTCTTTCTGTATAGAGTTTTGATTTTTGTTTTGTTTTAAAGAACATTTAAAATACTGATGTGAAAATATTTAAACATTTTTAAATGTAAAATTTTGTCTTTTATTTTTAAATAAGTAAAATTTTAAACAAATACAAGATGAATTAAAAAGTGAGGTAAAAACAAAGCCCGTTTATATATTACATATATATTCTTTATATCGTTGAGAACATCTTTTAGTTTCCCATTGTCTTCTTAAGTAATTATTAAAATATGCTCCTTTGTTCCAGCCCAAAAATCATCCGTTTAGAAAAACATAAGTATGCACTACCTTCAAGTATTAAAAATGAAAGTAATGGAAGATGGATGCAAACATAGTATCAATTTCGTGACGACCTATATGTGTACACTAAAATATTTGTGCTAATATTGGGAGGCGAAAGAAACCGACTCAGAGCTAATAGTAGATCTCTGATGACTAGAAACAGTAGGACTACGCTCTCCGGGGAGTCAAGACAGCGCTTGCGCAGAGACTCAGTTTGCGCCCGCCCTTCTGCTTTTCCTGAAGCCGCCGTTTTCTTCTGGTTTGGCGCTCCAGCCACCGGGGAAGGCCGAATCAAGCGTGACTTGGCTCTGATTGGCTCCTTTGAAAGTCTACGCGTTATCTGATTGGTGGATCCCGGGCCCTTTAGCGCGGTGAGTTTGAAACTGGTTGCACTTACCTTCCAAGCTGGCTCGGAGAAGTTGAGACAGTAACGCCGACGTGGTAGCCGCAGCCGGCGCTGCTTTCGCTGCGGGGTGATTAGTCGGGTAGAGTTGCTGGGGTCCGGGTCGTGCGTATGGGGCTGACAGGGGGCGGCTTGGTGGCTTTGGCGGGCCTTTGAGGGACCGGATGGTACCGTCCGTCGGCTAAGTGGGCAGCCGGGGTTTGCGTGGGGCCCACTCGAGGCTCAGGATGCCGGGCCTAGCCTTCACTTGGAGCCCCCGGCCCGGGCCGAGTGAATGACGCCGGACCAGGCTTTCGGGCGAGGTGTGGGGAAGCGCGGAGCTGGCAGGTTTACTCCGGGGAGGGAGGGGGCTGGCCTGGCGTCTGAGTTGCCGTCCGTAGTCGTGGTCGGCTGTTGTCAGGAAGAGGCCGTTCACCTGGCTAAGGAGGGTTTTGTGTCGCAGTTGAAGCCGCGTCGTGCTTCGTCTCGACCGCGCCGAGCGCTTAAGCCAAGTTCGGTCCCAGGTCCTTTGTCCTCGCGTGGGTGGGAAGCAAGACCGCTCTTAGGCCGGGTACCCAAAGCCCGATCCTATGAACCAACCTGTGGGCCTTCTCGAACTTGCCTCTGTGCCCATGGCCTTGAACTTGAACGCCCAGAGCTTTTTAAAGAACACCTAGTCAAGGCAGAAGGCGAGGGGGAATTCGGCTGTTTGTTTTGTTTTGATGCGTATGGTGGCTGCATGTATGGAATTAGCAAAAAGAAGCAAGTTAAGAAATGTCAGAAGATAAATATGTGGATTTTAATATATTTTAACCGATTTTTATTTAATACTAATGTGCACAACATAACTTCCTCTGAAGTCCTGGAAGTCTCTAGGTAGGAGATGAAGCCACTGGTGTTTTTTACACGCTGCGTGGTATAGAGCCCTAGGAGGCACTCAGAAGGCCTAAAGCTTGGCCTTATTTAGAGTTGTCACAACGGGAAAACGGAGGAAGGGGACTTAAACCCAGCTTTGAAACCGGGTTGGTTTTCAACTGTTCGTTGAAAGTGCGCTCGGCGATTTTATCGTGCACTAGACATAGTAAATCTGGATATTGAAGAAAAGCTAATTATCTTACTTAAGTTTACAGTGCCATTTCCTGAAATTGAAAATCTTTAAGATTGGCACTCAGGGCCAATGTAGTCCAGTTTCGTTCATTTAAAAAAGGTGATTTATTCATTTTATTTCTGGGATGATTTTGAAGATGAATATGAGAAATGGAACTTAAGGGTCAGTTACTCAGTGATCTTTATTATATATGATCTTAACAGTGATGCGTGTGTTAGAAAATCAGTGTGCTTTGGATTTCTAAAGTTTCACTGGCAAAGTTACTGAGGCGAACTTGTCAGCATTTCAACTTTTCTTTTAACCATTCTTTGCTATTCAAGTATTTTTTAAAATTTGTTCTTGAGATTGCATAGGATAGAATTTTATCTGTGAAGTTGAGTCTTTTTTTTTTTTAAGGGCGCTAAGTGATATTTTCTACTCCTCCAAAAAGGACCTTTGAAGTCTTCATCCTGTTTGTGTGTATGACTGCTAAAAACAGGAGGAAGTTAAAAGTCACTGGAGCAAATTTAAACACTTACGATTTTAATAATTTTTCTTTTAAAATTTATATATTTTAGAGGGAGAGAGAAAAATGTCTTTTTTGTTCCACTTATTGATGCATTCATTGGTTGATATTGTCTGTGGCCTGACCAGGTCAAACGCCCAGCCTTGGGGTTATCATCAGGTGCTGCTCTAACCAACTGAGCTGCCTTGCCAGGGCCCTTGACAGTTTTTCTAATAAATCAGCAATGTGACCTCATTTTAGCTCTCCACTTATCTTAAGATTATCTTCATAAAATCATAAAGCAGTGAGAACTCAGTCACATAACATTATTTGTTGAAATATCTGAGTGTTTGCCATACAGTGTGCTCCTTAGAAGTGTTCCATAAGAAAACATACATCTGGTTTTGGTTTGGGATGCACAGATAGGCTGATGTCTCAAATCGAGGGTTTATTTGGAAGAAGCTAAATCACTGGTATAAGATATATGTATAAATACTTCTAATGTTTAAGGAGCTAAGAAATTGTGGGAAAATCTTATTGCATGAGTCCTTTCCCCTGTAAATATTTTTTAATAATTAATATTTATGGCAAAGTAATACTGTACTAGTGGAAACATCTTTACATATAGTATCTCATTAGTAACTTAAGACTGACCTTTGAATTAGTGGCATATAGTTACATAATCTTTTCCTCTCATTTTAGCATCTACTGTAGCAATTGATTCACAATGGAAGACTATATCAAAATAGAGAAAATTGGAGAAGGTGAGTGCTTTTTAAAATAAAAGTTTCAAATGATTTAATGATGCTACAATATCTGTGACTTGAAGACATGTATGGTATTTTACTAAAATTCAACCTTTAATGTATCTTACCCTACTGATGTGCCTTAATACACATTCTTTGCATAAAAACAAACACAAAAATAACAAAGAATGTTCACATTTCAAGAGAAATGATGTTATTCTGATGACTCCCTGATAACCTTCCTTCCTGATAATCTTATAATACTAACCAATTAAAACAATATTTGTATTTTGATAAAACTATTGATGTCTTGTATATGTGTTGGGAGCGGAATTATGTTAAATTTCACAATAGACTTTTAGTTGCCTACAATTATTTTTAAGCTGGTAAATATTTTTTATCTAAATTTTCAAATCAATAAAGTTATTGGTAAAAATGAAAAAAACGTGTGTTATATTTTACAGAAAAAAACTAAATGGACTTTTTGGTTAACCCAATAATTAAGGGTTCAAGACTTCCCTAAATTTTCCAACCACAGTTTAAAAACCACTCTCTAGGAGATTACGTATTATCATGTGTATGGACTTGATTTAGTTCAATGATCCATCTTTATTATTGCCATCTCCATCCCCAGATCAGTCTGTATTGACGTTGTTGCTTATTGTATGCAGCCCAAGTATCAAAATCAGTGTTCTTACCAACTTCTGGAGGGGTGTGGAGCTTTTCTGCTATGTGGTTAGCAGTGTGACCTTTACCCCATTCTTCTCTGGATGAGGATTATTGACCATATTTGAGATGAGTGACACACTGATTACAGAGCTTTTGGAAACTGTCGCAGTGGCTCCTGTTAATATGGCCTGTGCCCAAAATCTATCTATCTATTGTATTTTATATCTACCTTATTGTAGGGCCAGATGTTTGACTGGAGATAAATTTCAGTTTGCAAAGTGTCCATTTTCTCTAATGTATGCTGAAAAATTACTGGTGATTTAAATGTATGGAAAACCTGTGATGACTGTATGAATTTTATTTCCCAATTACAGGTGCAGTAGGTTGTAGTTACCCTCAATTTCTTTTTGGAAGTGATGAGGGTATAGTTATGAGTAAGATGGTTCTTATCTGGATGCAGCAGACATTTCTATCATGTAACGCCTTATGGGATTCAATCATTTTTTAAAATCTTTTTAGTTGGTAGAGGAGTGTCAGCAGACATTTACTTTGTTTATTTCAGGTACCTATGGAGTTGTGTATAAGGGTAAACATAAAACCACAGGTCAAGTGGTAGCCATGAAGAAAATCAGACTAGAAAGTGAAGAAGAAGGGGTTCCTAGTACTGCAATTCGAGAAATTTCTCTTTTAAAGGAACTTCGTCACCCAAATATAGTCAGGTATGGTACAAGATCTGGATTTAAACAGCATGTTGTCTGCATGCTATTTAAAATGTGTCTCATCGTGGAAATTCTACATTTGCTTAGTTTTTGTGTACCTTACTAGGTGGAATAGAACCCCACTGTTTTTATTAATTGAGGAGGCTGGTCATAGGAAAAATGGGCTATTGCAAGCAGGAACAGAGTTAGAGGAACTTGGTTATAGAGATTAGTATTTGGGGCTGAAAAATCAAGGTAAACTGGCTGTGGGAGAAAAGGAAGACCTGTTCACTGAACTTTGTTAATTCTTTTCACTCAGAGCTCTGGTCCTTCAGGATTCCTTAATCAGAGTCCTAAGACAGCAAGTGAGGTCAGACAAAAAAGTATAGTTTTTTTCTTTCCTCCTTTTTAAATATGAGGGCTAATATTTTGGGGTGGGTTGTCTTTCTAGAGGTCCAAGTTAGGATTTAATTGAATTTGTCGGGGGAGATAGCAATTATTAAGGTCAGATACTACTTCAAAATTTATTTCTGTAATTTATCTCAATAGAAAGACAAGCTCTGAACAACAACCAGTCAGCCTAGAAATGTCTTGGAATGTAAGTAGTTTGAGAGTTAGCAGGTCCTATACAACTTAATTTTCAATTGCTGCCCTGAGATTTCTTCTCAAATTCTTGTTTAGTACTATTAGGGAAGGTTCTTACTAGGGAAGCTACCATTCTCTTCTTTCTCAAAACAGTGTATATTTGTTGTCAGAGAAAATATCTTAAAGCCACTGTGAAATTTAGGGAAGTTAATTTATGAGGTCAAAAATGTGTATTCTATATTTTTTATATAATTGTTCTATTGTTTTAGTCTTCAAGATGTGCTCATGCAGGATTCCAGGTTATATCTCATCTTCGAATACCTTTCCATGGATCTAAAGAAATACTTGGATTCTATCCCTCCTGGTCAGTTCATGGATTCTTCACTTGTTAAGGTGAGAAGCTTGCCTTATTTTATTAGTACTTATTCACTGTGAATGTAAAGGGCCTACTCTATGTAGGTGCCTGTGTTTTGTAGGAATTTGCTTGGGAAAAGTGTTAGAAAGTAGAATGAGGAAAAAGAGGGTATTTCATTTTCTTTCCACAGTCAGATTAGATTGTTAACAGTTACCATTTTATTGTTAAATAGTGCTTCTAATTATAAAGTGAAGAGTGGTATCCGAGAAAATAAAACTAATAATTATGTATTGTATTGTTGGAAACTAAGATATTCTGGTCTTTATTTGGCTGTCAAATTAATAAAACAAAGTAACAAAAGCCTGGGGCAAGGTGGAGGTGGCAGGTGGTTTTATTTTTTCTGGTTTTGAATCTGTTTTTGATTAATTAATTGTAGACACTATGATCTGTTAAAAACTATAAATGTATACATAATTGTTTAAAGAGTAGCGAAGTGTACAGAGTAAAAATGTCTGATCCTTATACCAGCTTGGGCAAACCACTCCTTCAGGTGTGTTATAAAACACCTCTGAACTACTAAACAGCTATTTCTGATCATTGTATGTATTTAAACATAATCATAGTATCTTCTTTGTTATTTCTTTTGAAATCTGACCGGTGTCTCCAAAGAGGAAATAAATATGTAAAGATAAACAGATCAAACTGAAAATGACCAAACTTATTCAGGATAGAAATAGAGTTGCTATCAGTGTGTAGAGAAAAAGTATAAGAAACTTTTGTACAGAAGACTAACTTGTGACTTAAAGAATGAGGGACCAAAAATCAGTCAAAGAAGACAAAATGAGCTCAATGGCTATAGATGTGTTCATAGGTGACTATCTTTGTCTTCGGGGCACAAACATGATGTTGTATATAAATGGGCTTTTCAACCTTCAAATACGTGTTCATCTTACATGGCCTGACAGCCTTTTTGGTAGTTAAATTTCACTGCATTATAACTTCTCTTTTCAAAAGAAACTCACCAAGATTATTTAGAAAATCATTATGTGCTATACAGTTAATTTTCTAACATGTTTCCTTCTTCCAGAGCTATTTGTACCAGATCCTACAAGGGATTGTCTTTTGTCACTCTAGAAGAGTTCTACACCGAGACTTAAAACCTCAAAATCTATTGATTGATGACAAAGGAACAATTAAACTGGCTGATTTTGGTCTTGCCAGAGCTTTTGGAATACCTATTAGAGTATATACACATGAGGTAGGTAGAATTGTATGTTTTTGGTGCTTTTGAATATATGTGATTGCTGGATTGTTTCATATTTGTTCTTTGAGTCAAGAAAGAAATGTCAAAAGTTTCGACTCTGCCAGTATCAGTTCATTGCCTCAGCTCCCAATTCACCCTTCTTTGTATACTATGTGAAAATGGAATTGGAATCTTTTCTTTTTTCTTTTCTTTTCTTTTCTTTTCTTTTCTTTTCTTTTCTTTTCTTTTCTCTTCTCTTCTCTTCTTTTCTTTTCTTTTCTCTTCTCTTCTCTTCTTTTCTCTTCTCTTCTCTTCTCGCTGGTGAGATGTTATGCTTTGTCAGCAGGCTATTGCTGGAAAAGCACTGCAGAGGGGAAGGATTTTCCTTGCTATAGTTTTTAGAGTTTTCATTATTTCTTACCAGTCAGTTTCTCATTCCAATCCCCTGTTATAGTTAATAATCCTATATATTAAACTTCCCCTATTCATTCACCAGGTGGCTTCTGTCTGTCTCCTGATTAGATCTTTTCTGATACACAATCAAATTGATTGAAAGACCAGTTTTGTTGCTTATGGGGTACTGTTTCACATACATTTAGGAGCTACATGTTTCATCAGTGTTGTGTTGATGATTTGTCATTTCATTTGTTATTTCTGGAGGGAAAGAAAATGTTGAACTGTATAGGATTATAGTCATGCATTGCTTGATGATGTCCGGGATCTGTTCTGAGAAGTGCCTCTGTAGGCCATTTTGGCACTGAGCAAACATCGTAGAATACACTGACACACAAACGTAGGACCTACTATATATTAGGCTCTATGGTATAACCTACTGCTCCTATGCTACACATCTGTACAATATGTTACTGTACTGAATACTGTAGTCAGTTGCAACATAATGGTGTGTGTCTAATCATGGAAAAGGTACAGCAAAAATACACTACAAAATTTTTTAAACGGTTCACCTGTACAGGGCACTTAATGGAGCTTGCAGGATTGAAAGTTGCTCCTGGCAAGTCAGAGAGTGAGTGGCGAGTGAATCCGAAGGCCTTGGCGGTTACTGTGAACTACCTGAGACTTTATAAACACTATGCACTTAGCCTACACTAAGTACTTCGTTTAAAGTGTAGTGTTGCGCTGTGACATGACAACGGCGATGATTTCACTAGACAATAAAAATGTTTTAGCTCATTAGGGAACCGCTGTCATGTATGTCTTTTGTCCTTGACTGAAGCATTTTTATATGGCACATGTTTATATTGGGAAAGCGTCTTCTGTGGAGCTGTCTACCCTTGAGCCCAAAGACTTCCCCGAGATCAAAGCCCACCACGCTCATCTGGTTAGATGTGTTAGCTTCTTTGTATCGTCACTTCATATCATTTTCCCATGGCTAATGCTAGTGACCTCTTCAACTTTAAGTTAGAGGTAATATTATTGCCATTGTGATAAATTATGTGCTAAAGCTTTAGACCACTAATGACTTCTTCATGTTTTTAGCACATGAGCAGTACATGACTTTGTTCAGTGTCATCCCAAATCCATTACTCATTGTCAAATGGGCTTTAAAAAAATACATTAAAGCTGTCTGAACTTTTTTGATCCACGCTTTAATGATTTGAAAAGCAAGAAAAGATTTGGTGTGCTTTTATCTGTTGGGTTCCCCCCCCCACCTTAATGAATAGAACTTAGAAATGAAATATCTTCCATTTAGTATTTTCTGTATGGTTAGTTTATTTAAACAGTGTTATCTTGGGCCTTCTAAAGACGGTTGTAATGAAATATAAATGTGTATATTTAGGTAATTTAATGCACCATAGTTATTCAATGTGAAAATTTGTTTTGTAATAGGTAGTAACACTTTGGTATAGATCTCCAGAAGTACTGCTCGGGTCAGCTCGCTATTCGACTCCAGTTGACATTTGGAGTATAGGCACCATATTTGCTGAATTAGCAACTAAGAAACCACTTTTCCACGGAGATTCAGAAATTGATCAGCTCTTCAGAATTTTCAGGTATTTTTGTTTTTTACTTAAGCTGTTAAGAACTTTAAAGACAGCATGAATATAATGAGATTATATTTATGCTTAATAATTTTTCATTTTGCTATGGCTTTTAGAGCTTTGGGTACCCCCAACAATGAAGTGTGGCCAGATGTGGAATCTTTACAGGACTATAAAAATACATTTCCCAAGTGGAAACCAGGAAGCCTAGCATCCCATGTCAAAAACTTGGATGAAAATGGCTTGGATCTGCTCTCGGTAAGGAGCGCCCTTTATACTGACTGTCACTGCTAATTCTGAATGTTCTCAACCCTTTCTTTTAACTGGGACATAGGAAGAAAACTAACATTTAGTGAGTTAAGCAAATATGTCTGTTATGTTTACTGTATTACTAGTTCTATTTCAGATACCAAGAAAACTGGGTGGTTTAGAGAAGAGAATTAGCAATAGTTCTTTTCATTATTTTTATTATTTTTATCTGATAGATAGCTACAGACATTCTGTGCAGGAAAGGTCAGTGTTAATACACCTTTGTTGTTTTTCAGGTTGCTGATTTGTAGTAGCCTTCCTGGTTAAAGGTGTTCCCCTTAGTGCTTGATATTGTTTGTGTTAAAGCTTTCCACTGCATGAACTCCCATTATTTATTTTGTACCTTGTTTCTACATCAGAAACATTAGGTGAAGGACTGATACAGTTCTTGAGAATGTTTCCCGTCTCTTACATTGTCATTCCAAACTAACAGTTTTCTTTAGAAACAAGACAAAAATGCTGTTAGGATTTAAAAAAAATACATTGTCCTAAGCCTGTTTCAGGAAGTTTATTTTAGAATGGTATTTAAGTATTGAGCTTTAGAAGGAGGTAATTTTGAATAAATCTCAGGTAACATTCTAGAAAAAAAATGTTTTGGCAGGTTACTAACATAGTGAAAAATAATCTATTGCTATGTCATCATATGCATGTTCTAATTGGTCTTTGGGCACCTTTCATGTTTTATGAGTCATTGTGCCACCAAATTCAGCTCAGATTTCCCAGTTGTTTGCAGTGAAGTCCAAAGTCCTTTACCTGCTATTTAATATTTTGTATCTCAATATTGTTGATTTGACATAAAAGACCTTCTATATTCTGGGCCCAATGTATCTTTTTAACTTCTGTAATTCTTGAATACAAAATATTTCACTTCAGTTAACAAAACAAAAGTCACAAATACTATAAAATCAGAGGTCCTTAGCTTAGGCTCTAGTGACTTCCTTGACTGGATCATTTGTTGCTAGGGGACTGTCCCATACATTGTTTTTTGTTGTTTTTGTTTATTTTCTTTTTAAGATTTTATTTATCTTTAGAGGGGAAAGGAAGGAGAGAGGGAAAGAAGTATCAATGTATGGTTGCCTCTTGTGTGTCCCCTGCTGGGAACTGGCCTGCAACCCAGGCATGTGCCCTGGCTGGGAATCGAACCACTATCCTTTAGTTCATGGTTCCTAGGCCCACGCTCGATCCACTGAGCCACACCAGCCAGGGCCCATACATTGTTTTTGAAGTTTAACTTTATTACTCCTTAGCTCTATGAACTCGGGCAAATTACTTAACTTTGAGCTGCCATGTCTTAATTTGTAAAGTGGAACTAATACTGTGCCTTTTGTTGTGAGGCTTAAGTAACGTGATACTTGCAAAGCACTTGACATAGTGCTAGATATATATAAGAGCTCAAATGGCAGCTAGATAGTAAAAGTGTATCTTGTCTATGTGTTGGTTTGATTTTAAGATTAATATTTCTTTAAGATAAACTTAAAGGTCAATATTAAACTTGATCATCTTTTTCTGGTAATATATAAGTTACTATTGGGTTGTCTGATTCATTTAGTGACTCGTAACCATGATTATAACCCATTGCACTCTGGTTTTGTTTTTGCTTGTAATTGATGGAAGCCACATCAGAAATCACTGTAGTTTAGTGCCACCATTTCAAAATGTTTATAAATAATTTTGATGGACATTTAATTCTCAAAGTAAAATCATTAACTAGATATCTTCCTTAAATGGACATCTTAGTTTTAAAGCTATTTCTGAATTGCTTGTATCTTAAATCACAATTTATAGCAAAAAGGGGATATTGAGATATGTAAAATTGAAGGAATAGGCTATTCTAGAGGAAGAGGGTGAAGTAGAGGGGATGAGACATGTTGGTGGTTCACTTATTGAACTAATGGAAATGTTCCTTTAGCAGATTTTCATTACAATTAGCTTATGGCTTATTAGTAAGGAAGTTCAGGCTCTGTGGAGTTTTTTTAATGGTTCATTCCTTCAGTAAATAAAAAACCTCTTTTCTTTTTATCTTTCCCCTCCAGAAAATGTTAGTCTACGATCCTGCCAAACGAATTTCTGGCAAAATGGCACTGAATCATCCATATTTTAATGATTTGGACAATCAGATTAAGAAGATATAGTTTTCTGACAGTTTCCACATGTATCAAGAGCAGATAGTTATATTTTACCTTCAACTCTATTTTTGTCTTCTGTATTTTTGTTTTCTCTGTCGTAAAATTTGATCTGTACTTCATCTTCTAACTTCAAAAGTTGTAACTTAAAAATGTAAATATTGTTCTATATGAATTTAAATATATTCTGTATATGTGTGTAGATCTCACTGTAACAACTATTTGTTACTGTAATAAAGCTATAACTCTAATATTGATGTCAGAAATTGGGGAAAGTTAGCTTAAATCATAATCGAACCTTACAACAGCCCAGTTTTCCTGTAGTTGGAATTTAGGAAAGTGTGCTCTTTAAGTTCAAAGTTCATAATGCTTTGAAGTATTTGTATGCTCTGGATGTTTAAATTTTCCTGTCAGTTTCTTGCCATGGGTTAATTTCTACTGGCATTTCAATATGTGATTTAAATATTTAAGCATTCAGAGTGAGAAAACTTCCCAGATTTGAGAAATGATGCTAAATTTATAGAGGTTTTTACTAACTTATAAGAATAGCCTTAGAGTATGCCAAAATTTGCAAAGTTTTATAGTTAAAGATCAAAGGCTGCCCATACCAGGGAAGAACAGTTGAGAGAATTTGTGAGCTATCCTATTTTTAGGTAGGTTATGAAAGATATTTATCTAAGTGAATTCTTATGCCTTGGTCAAAGGTAATAACTATGTAAAGGGGTGGTTATTGTGGCTTTCATTTCTGACTTAGGAACACTATGTCAAAATTTGCAAATAAAGCTTTTATTAGCAGCCTTCTTAGAGGGTTCAAGTATTTGTACAAGTATTTAGCAAAAATCACTAACTTTGGGAATTAATAATACTCACTGTGATTCTTATTACCAGCCTAATTTAAACGTTATAGCCAAGAGAAATGTCTAAGAATAATTTTATCATTTTTGTTGTGCATCTTTCCTTTGACCCCGTGTCCTCTATTTTTTCTTCCCGTTCGTTTACTTACGGCAAGAACGGGCATTCATGTGTGGTTGATCCTGTCACCAAATTGGCTGGGGAATGGGTTATCTTTACATTGTCTTGTAATTTCTTGCACTCTGCAGGAGAAAGTGTACATATGGGTCACTGTTTGGCATTGGAACTTAGGAGAAGTTTGGTGGCTTTGTTGTAAGTTCTTTGGTGGAAGTTATCTTGCAGTAAGAGAATGCAGAGCCTTGGATATGGAAGTCACTTGGGGTCATTGTGGAGAGTTATTAAGAATCGATGGCGGAGATTTGGTAAATGAAAGGTAACAAAAGATTTGAGATGGGGAAATGCACATCTACAGGCGTGTTTCCTTAAACTACAAAGTGAAATAAAATGATGTTTTTCATGTCAGATTGCAACCCCTCAGTGGTTTAGAGACAGCATTCATCAACCCTCACCCTGCCCCCTACCACCTGTAGAATAGAAACTGTCAGCAAATCTGATCTTTTGTTTCAGTAATATATAAATGCATGGTGTTATAAATGCTTGGGGCCTTGTGGATTTGGTAGAAGCAGCATGGAACTTCACTATTTCTCTGTGGACTTTAACTGGAAAAGTCAATAATTTATCTATTTAGAACCTACTTGGTGGACCAGGGCAATAAGATGGGAGAATAGTATCAATAGCTGTAATGAGTGACCTACTTTTTCTGTACACGTTTTTGTAGTATTTGCCAGCTTTAGTGACTGAAAAGTTACTGAACTGGATCCTCATCTCATGCATATTTTTCAATTGGCTTGCGTTGTGGTGCTTCTGATTAATTATAAAATGGCGCTTGTCTTGGGGCCAGTAGTTCTGAAATCTATTGACATTGGAAACATGAACTAGCTGGTTGTAACCTGAACAATTCTAAAATTGAAAATTAGTAAATGTAGCCTGGGAAATTTTTTTGTTTCCCAAGCTGATTCAGATATAGCCTAGTATCACTATTTTTGGTGAGTTTAACAACTTGGACGTATCATTTTAGTTGTCTTAAAATGTGGCATTATGCAATGTTTGACTTTTTCTATTTGTTTCAGTCTTTAGGAGGGGAAAGGCCTGTCTATTTCATCACCAATGTAAGACTGATGTGCTTGAGCATACAGTGGAAATTGTTCTAGCTTGAGATTTCCCGAGATCCTAGAGGAGGGTTTTTATATCTATTTAAGTTTAAATATACAAGTAGTAATGGTGAGAGAAGTTCAAGTGCTTGAGATTTGAGTGCTCTATTGGATGGAACAAACATTAATTTCTTTAGGAATTATAAACTTAAAGGAATCTGAATTTCTATAGAACTATAGACTCATTTTTGCAGTGAGGACAGCAAATTAGTGATTGTGGAGTGAAGAGCGTAGTGGGTGTTGTTTAAGTAGGTTTATGACAAGATAGAATACTGACTAGAGAAAGTGAAGGAGGCATAAAGCAGGAAAGGTCCTGATGAGGGAGAATTCTTTCTGACTTCAAAATAGCATTTCGTGGAGGAAAGAAGATGAAGGGGTTAGCCAAAGAACATACATGTCTGACCCTTGGATGGGCAAGGATGTGGGTATTGCCTGAGGGAGGTAGGGCGGGAGCTGGTTGGAGGTGGGTAAAGGAGAAAATGCAGGCACAACTGTGATAGCATAAAGTACTATAAAAATAGCATCTAGGGGATGGTAAAGATGGGATAGTAATGTTATTGACAGGCATTCTCAGTTGGTCAGTGTAAATATTAATTTTCTAGAACTAAAAGCTTTGGAAGAAATGTACTGAGAGTCATACACTTGGTTGTGGAGGGCAAAGGTAGAATGATTGCATTCCTTTAGAATGCTGAGGGTTTGTGCTTTTCAGGCTTCTGGCCCACTTACAGAGTCTGATTCAGTAGGTGTTGTGTGGCTATAAATACAGTAACAAGTTCCAGTGTGGTGATGCTGATGGTCCAGGGGCCACACTGAGAATCTGTCTAGGTAGGGCAGATTCAGAAGTCTAGAGCTTGTCAGGTTTGCAGAGGAAGTACCGAAGTTTAGGAGAAACTCACCTAAAGTCAAGCATACACGTGGAGGTTGAACTGGAATTTGAACCTAAGTTTTATACTGGGTGTTGAAAAGAATGGCATAATGTACATACAGATGCCAGGCTTTAGAACTAAAGAGACTCAGGCTTGGTTCTCAGTGATGCCATTTCTGTCTATATGCTTGAGTAAGTCACTTGATGGCTCTTCAGTCCATTTCCTGAGTTGTATAATGGAGACAATAAATAAGATGTATTATTTATATAAATAGGATTGTTAGGGATGGAAATAGAGTTGCCAGGCATTCTGCATATATAAGACATAACCTGCCAGGATGCCCTAAGTGTGCTTTTTCCAAACATTGCAAAAATTGTGCAGCTAGAGCTATTTTTCTGCCATGTGATTGGAACTTGGTGTTAAATCGAAACACTAGTTAAAAAATAGGTAAAGTTCTTGGCACATGGCACCTGGTAATTTTCTCTTAGGAGCTCTCATCTCTTCTTTCTCAGCTCTTAAAGCACTTCTTTTATTTTCTCCCTTACTAAATCATAGGTCCACTAAGGGCTGGGCCATGTTTTTTTGTTTGTTTTAAATTTTATTTTTATATTTCAATTAGTTTGCATTTGTTATTATTGGGAACTGCCCTGCCTGGTTTTAGAAGCTGTAACACCGCCCCCCCGCCATGGCTAAGGCAGAGTGAACAACCTTCAGACCATAAGCCACTAAGGAGACAAAGCTTATCTCCCTGGCAGGGACTCCGCTTCTCCTTTTTCTTTACCCTGCCTGGTCCCCAATGCTTCATCGGTTAGCCAATGATGGGTAAGATTCCTCAAGGGAGGAACAACCTAAGACAGGCACGATCACAGGGAGTCCCAGGAGATCACAGGGAAGGACTTGGGGGGCTATAGGAAAAGGGGGTGATGGACCCTCGCCCCTTGGCTTTGACATAGCCTGAGTCCTCATTCTGTCTGCAAGAACTCTCCTAATCTCTTGGCTGCCTTACTTCCCCTGCCTGACTTAAACCTGAAACAATGACAGGGTGGTGCAGCCCTGTGCTGGAAAGAGTAGGTTCCCTGGGTGACGAGGCCTAAGAATATATAAAATCCTGTAAAACCTGCTTTGCTAAGAATGTTCTCAATTAAGTGATAAGGGTCTGAGCAGGAAATGAGTTTTGTAGCCCCAAAGTTTTGTAGCCCTTTAGCTAACAGACCCCCAACTCAGAATAAGCCCTCGTGGTTCTTTGTATGCTATCTATTGTTTGATCCTTACTGCCTGACAATGATTAGTGAGCTTCACTTGTATTCCTGTGCAAATTGAAACCCAGTAAAGACTTGTCAAGGCAAGGGTCAGCACGCTCTCCCCTTGAGAGAGCAGTAGCCGCCCCTTTTCCTCCACAGGACTAGGTAGTCCATGTGAATGTCTCATCTCATCCATAATGCCTCAGACACTGTGGGCTGGTGTCCATGTCACATTATTTTGTATTAGTTTCAGGTGTACCGCATAATGGTTAGATAGTCATATACTGTACAAAGTAGTCCTCTCAATATTTCTAGTACCCACCTGCACCATACATATTAATTATGATGTTATTGACTACATTCCCGATGCGGTACTTTATATCCCTGGGACTATTTTGTGACTACTGCCAATTTGCAGTTCTTAATCACTTAATTTTTTTCACTTAGCTCCTCAAGCCCCTCCCCTCTAGCAACCATCAATCTGTTCTCTGTATGTATGAGTCTGTTTCTATTTTGTTTATTTTGCTCTTTAGATTTCACATATAAGTGAAATTATGATATTTGTCTTTCTCTGTTTGACTTGTTTCACTTGGCATAATACCCTTCAGGTTCATCCATGCTGGACCTAGATTTTATTCTTTTTATGTCTGGGTAATCCTCCATTGCACATATGTACCACAACTTGTTAGCTACTCATCTACTGATGGGCAATTGGAGAATTTCATATCTTGGCTATTGCAAATGATGCTTCAGTGAACATAAGGGTGCATTTAGTCTTTTGAGTTAGCATTTTGGGGGTTTCTTTGGATATATACCCTAAAGTGAAATCACTGGATCATAAGGCAGTTTCATTTTTAATTTTTTGAGGAAATTCCATACTATTTTCTGTAATAGCTGCACCAATCTGCATTCCCGTTAACAGTGCCTGAAGGTTACCTGATTGCCATTCTAACAAGTGTGAGGTGATATCTCATTGTGGTTTTAATTTGCATCTCTCTGATGATTAGTGACATTGAGCATCTTTTCATATGTCTGTTGGCCATCCATATATGTCCTCTTTGGAGAAGTGTCTATTCTGGTTCTCTGAGTGGCCATGTTTTGTTCTTTAATCCTCACAGCCCTTGGTCCAATGCCTCGACCATTAGATAGGATTCCAGTTCTTTAGGGTTGCCCACAGGTAGGCAACCTGTGGCCCCTCACCTGCAAAAATAATTGAACATGTGTAGTAAGCAGCCACCATACTTTATATAGGTAAAGTATATAAAGTGTATATATATATATAAAGTATATAAAGCCTCCCTTCTCAGCAACCTTGTAAGGGAGAGAGCATCTCTGTTTTACGTGACAGTATTAGGACTCAGAACTTAAGGACTTGCCAAAGGTCATGAGGGTAGTAAATGTCAGAGCAAGGACCTGCCTTGAGCTTTTTTTTAAACTTCAAATTGTTCTCTTTCCATGGCATCACATTGGTTCCCCAGATAAATCCATAAAGAAAACATGTATTTAGTTTTAAAATCTTAAGATAGTACTGAAAAAGAATACACCAACACCACAGGCCCGTAGACCCCTTATTAGCACTGGCGTTTCTGACGGACAATCAGAAACTGCTTCCTCAAGGTTGAAAGGATAAAGTCACCAAAGAAAGAGAGTTTTCAGTCCAGTCCATTTTCGGTAGCAATAACCCTTTTTATCCTGGAAAGTCCACCAATACACTTAAGTACTTGTGGTCTCGTGGAGTTCCTAATTCTGGCTCTCCAGTTCTTAATCATAAAGATGACCCACACCGGATTAGTCACAAGATACCATAACCCAGCAGCAGTAAGTGGCTCCAGGAATGGGCAAATGACCTAAATGACCCATCAGGGTCCTTTTTGCTATAGAAACCTGTGTTGCGACCATTCAAGGCCTGACAGGTTCAAGGCATTCAGGCAAACAGAAGAATACTCATGGAGCTGAGGGGATGTCTGACGTACCTTTATTTACCAGTGGGCGAGTCACGCACTCAGCAAGCCACTTGTCCCCCTGCGTGTGTCTGCCTGTCTCTGCATATCACCTGTCCCCTCTGTGTGGTACATATCGTGGCCCTTGCTCCCCAGTGTGGCACCCAGCAGGGAGCCTCTACTGCCTTCTTAAATAGTAGAACA